CCCCTACACCCCCTCCCTATCTCTGTCACCTCCTCCAGCCCCCTACACCCCACCCTCTCTTCATCACCTCCTCTAGCCCCTACAACTCCCATCTGACACCTCCTCCAGTCCCTACACCCCTCAAAATTTCTGTCACCTCCTCCAGCCCCTACACCCCTCTATATCTCTGTTACCACCTCCAACCCCTACACCCCTCCCTGTCTCCATCACCTCCTCCTGTCCCTACACCCCTCTATATCTCTGTCACCTCCTCCAGCCCCCTCCACTCCGTCCCTGTCTCTGTCACTACCTCCAGCCCTACACCCCCTCCTTAACTCCCTCACCTCATTCTCCAGCCCCTACAGCCCTCCCTATCTCTGACACCTCCTACTCCATCCCTCCCTAAATGTGTCACCTCCGACAACCATCCAAGATCTCTGTGCCCCTCCAATTCTGTCCTCTCAATGTTCCCCCAATGCCCATCGCTCTGCCATTTGGAGCTGTACTTTCTGTCTCCAAGGGCAGGTTTTTGGGGAGTGACCTAATCCCTGGACTCCTGTCCCCCCACCCCCCCTGTCCTCTGTCTCCAGCCAGTGTCTGTTTCTCCCCACTCCATTACACCTGACTCTGGTGTCCGTCTCCTCACTGTCTCCCCTCGGTTGAGCTGAGAATTCTTTTGGCTCCTGCCCCATCCGCATTGTACCTCGGGAGGTTGCATGTCGTGCCAATATTTTTGGCTTTTCTTGGAAAGCCTTTCCATTCAGGTTCCTTCTTGCCTGTTCATTCACTGTCTTTTATTGGTAAGCAATAATTGCAGGGAACAATGATTCGCTCTGTCCCTGACCCTGACTGGAAACAGAACATTGAGATTAGAAAGCAAAAGCCTTCAGTCTCGGTATCTATCAGCTTGATAAGTGGACAATGGCCTGATAACTGACTGACTACTCATGTTGATCCATTTCAGTTCACCCTAGCATTCTGAAAGCGGCAGGGATGTCTTACTGTAGTTGTACAGGGGCATTGGTGTAGACCACACCTGGAGTATAGTATGTGCTGTTTTGGGGTCTCCCTATCTGAGGAAGGATGTACTGGTGATGGAGGGAGTGCAGTGAAGGTTCATTCCTGGGGATGGCAGGACTCACGCAGGAAGAGAGACTGGTTTGGATAGGATTATATTCACTGGAGTTCAAAAGAATGAGGAGGATCTCATAGAAAGCTATAAAATTCTAAAAGGACTAGACACGGTAAATAGAGTCATAGAGCTGTGCAGCATTGAAACAGACCCTTCACTCCAACTCATCTGTGCTAACCAGATATCCTAAATTAATCCAGTCCCATTTGCCAGCATTTGGCCCATATCCCTCTAAACCCTTCCTATCCATGTACCCATCCAGATGCCTTTTAAATGTTGTAATTGTACCAGCCTCCACCTCTGGCAGCTTGTTCCATACACGCACCACCCTCTCTGTGTGAAAAACTTACCCCTCAGGTCCTTTTTAAATCTTTCCCCTCTCATCTTAAACCTATGCCCCGCTAGTTTTGGACTCCCCCACCCTGGAACAAAGACCTTGACTATTTATCCTATCCATGCCCCTAATGAGCTTATAAACCTCTATAAGGTCACCCCTCAGCCTCCAATGCTCCAGGGAAAATAGCCCCAGCCTATTCAGCCTCTCCCCATAGCTCACACGCCACAACCCTGGTAATATCCTTGTAAATCTTTTCTGGACGCTTTCAAGTTTCACAACAACCTTCCTACAGCAGGGAGACCAGAATTGAATGCAGTATTCCAAAAGTGGCCTCACCAATACAGCCGCGACATAACCTCCCAACTCCTACACTCAATGCACCGACCAATAAAGGTGAGCGTCCCAAACACCTCTTCACTGAGGGAGCGCCGCACTGTTGGAGGGTCAGTGCTGAGGGAGCGCCGCACTGTCGGAGGGTCAGCGCTGAGGGAGTGGGCACTGTCGGAGGGTCAGTGCTGAGGGAGCGCCGTACTGTTGGAGGGTCAGTGCTGAGGGAGCGCCGCACTGTCAGAGGGTCAGTGCTGAGGGAGTGGGCACTGTCGGAGGGTCAGCGCTGAGGGAGTGGGCACTGTCGGAGGGTCAGTGCTGAGGGAGTGGGAACTGTCAGAGGGTCAGCACTGAGGGAGTGCCACACTGTCGGAGGTTCAGTGCTGAGGGAGTGGGCACTGTCGGAGGATCAGTGCTGAGGGAATGGGCACTGTCGGAGGGTCAGCGCTGAGGAAGTGCCGCACTGTCGGAGGATCAGCACTGAGGGAGCACCGCACTGTCGGAGGGTCAGCGCTGAGGGAGCGCCGCACTGTCGGAGGATCAGCGTAAGCAACAATTGTTAGACAGAACTAAACAATCCCACAACGGATCAGATCTAAGCTCTCCAGCCCTGCAGTTGGAAATGGTGGTGGACAATTAAACAACTCACCAGAGGCAGAGGCTCCACAAATATCCCCCTCCTCAATGATGGAGGAGCCCAGCACATCAGCGCAAAAGATAAGGCTGAAGCATTCGCAGCAATCTTCAGCCAGAAATGCCGAGTGGATGATCCATCTCGGCCTCCTCCAGTGGTCCCATCCTTGCTTCAGACATGGACAAAAGAGCTGAATTCCAGAGGGGAGGTGAGAGTGACAGCCCTTGACATCAAGGCTGCACTCGACCGAGTGTGGTATCAAGGAGGCCTAGCAAAACCAGAATCAATGGGTACCAGGGGGCAAACACTCTGCTGGTTGGAGTCATACCTGGCACAGCTTCAGGGCATCTCTGCAGGAGTTCGTCAGGGTAGTGCCCTGGGCCAAACCACCTTCA